TTTCCCTAGAAATAATATGACACTCTTCTTCCCAACCTTGCCAGTAATGTAAACAAATCTGGATTTGTGAAAAATTCCCTCTTCTGTTTAGTCAGTTATTTTCACGATATGTGTCATTAGTATTTATTTCTATGACATATAGGATTTCCTTGTTATTTTATCAGCAAGCATAAAATATAACATGTATATTTGTATTCATACTGAAAATTCAAATCTTCAATATTATATTTCATCTCTGTGTCTAACACTTTGCTTACTACATAATGGTATATATCACAAAAATATCAACTGTTAATCCTATACTTTATATTTCAAAAAGTCACATCAATTAGATAGTTAATCCTTTTACCAGCATTTTGAAAGATTTTTCCCTCAATAGATCTGATGTAATAATGTTATTTTCATATTTCTATTCATAAAGGTCTTTCTTTAATAACTTCTCAGGATTTAGGGAGAATTGTGACTAAGTTGCTTTATATAATACACTTAAGTCCTGGCAGTCTGAGCCTATAACCTAAGACTAAATGATAAAGTATTATTTTTCCGACAGGACGCTGGGGTGAAGGATGAACATAAAGACCTTTCCTCTGACTCTGAAAGAAATCACAGGTGTCAATAATGTCATTTAAAACTTCTGTGCTGGGGTCAATCTGAAGTAGCTGTGCTTTCTTTTTATATGCACTATATTTATTAACCACTTTGATCTTAGTTCTTCATCTTTAAAGTGGAGATACTGCTACTCCTTACCTCAAAATATTGTAAGAAAGTATTGGTTTCAAATCTATTTGGGGCTTACTACCCTTACCTCAGGAAAGTCAGAGAGACTGAAAAATTGTATATTTCAGCTTCCCCTAATAATTTTGAGAGGGTGACCCCAAATCCTAAAACGCCCAGGTATCAGAGATTATTTGTTCTCTGCTCTTCAAGTTCAAAAGCAAGATGAACATAGATAAAAATCCTCTGGGGGCAGAAACAAGAAGAGGCTAACTCCCTCTTCATGGTTGGTTGACAAATGTGGTTCCATTGGTAAGAATAGTTTGTGGTAAGGTATTTCAGTGCTTATACAGAGAAACACACAACGGGATTGGCCAAAGCAGAAAAGGGACGCGAATCATGCATTTGGAACTAATAATGAGAAAGCAGAGTTTAGTCTGTAATCTACTCAATATAGTTTTCTTCACACTTAATTTATGTTATATATGTAAAGACATAATTGATAACTCCCTAAATCACAGTACATACTGTTTTACCTCAGTATCGTGGATGACTAGTCCTGTAGCTAGCACAAATATGTTAGATGTGCCATGGGAGGAATTTAGACATGGCTAGATGAATGAGCTTTATTTTATTGACATTACTAATAATAACTGTCAATATTATATTTTGGTCAGATTATATAACTGTAAAAATTACTATCAAATAGTAAAACAGCTGGATAAAGAGTTCTGAGCATGTGATGTGGTGTTTTCACAATAAACTCTCAAGAACTGTTGAGCTATTCAAAGAGGGACTTCTTAGTTGCTTAGACTGTTGAACTATAACCTAAAGGAAATTGCAGAGAGCATTGACAAATCAAAAAGATATGTCTTCCTAGGGAATTCAGTGATCTTGAGGTGTTATACATGAAATAAGTTAAATGAATTAATATTCAAATGAATTAAAAATATTATGTAACTTTGAAATAAATCAAAGTACCTTCAGTTCTGCCTAACAGGACTGTTGAAAGCATTCCATCTAGTGTGAGGTCACAGAAGTTTCAGAGGTCTAGAGAGCAAGAAGATCCAGCTGTGTTTCTTCAGGTTTTTCAGCAATGATGGAAAGTAAACACAAATAAATTGAAAATTGGGCAGCTTAGAATAAACAGGGAGTTTGGTTAACATACCTAATTCTGTGTATATGTCTTCAGGTTTTTATGTCAGAACTAGCTGAACAGTGAAAAAAATCATTTGGCTAGAGAAATAGAGCTTAAAAATATTCTTATATTTTTATTTCAGTGGTTTGACTCACAAAATTCGTCTTTTAAAAATTGTCCACTTTTCAATTTTATGAGATTAATAATAAAGTCTAAAATCATGTGTTACTTCATAAATGCTTGCTACACATTCTCACTACTTTTAAATATTATAATCCCTAAGAAGAGTTAAAGAATGGAAGATTAAGAATGTTTGATTGGAAATCTATTCATAATCTTGCTCAATCAGCAGTATTGCTACTAGTATCGCTATGAGGTTCACAACAAATCTACTGAATTGCTGGAGTACAACACAGCTGGTTCGTTATTCTGGTTGGTTATTTTGGCTTTCTTAATGCGTGTCCTGATTGTGTGGCATTCGGCTAATTATATGACTGAATATCTGACTCAGCCACAGAGTAGTTAATTTACTGGTCACATATGGGCATGAAGTTAACCTTTCCTTCCATTTAAAAGTTAGATATAGTTGCTCCAAGGAAAATCAACCAGCCGTACTCCTGAAGCCAGAATAGGTTATATTTTATTATGTCCTTCTGTCATGTCATTTTCAGTATCACTATTTCTGTCCCTCACAAAGCCTGGGTGAGCTATGCTTAGGTCACAGAAATTTACAATAAAGCTCATGTGGATTAACTACTCTTTGAGCTCCTGGTTCCCTTTAGTTAGCACAACAGTCACTTAGAATTCTTTGATTGCATCAGATACGTTTGTTTGTCTCCTAGATCAACCCTATTTCCTGAAGTGTTCTTCTATTCGTTTCTTTTTGCTTCCAAGGTAGGAAGTCCTGTTTTTCAGTACCCAACTTTATCGACAAATATCTTCCTAGCTCTGAAATGACATGTGGCCAGACAATCCTGTTTCAGACATATGCTCAGCCAAACCTGTAAGAGTAGAGTTAGTGAACATGGGAGTGGAAGAGCTTTTAAATATGTGATAGGAAAAAGTAATGAAGGACATAAAGTATTTACGTGATTCTTTTTCCTGAAAAGATAATTCAGTAGAATGTTATTTTTGTTCTCTTACACGGGGTTGGCTCAGATAATTTTTATAAGTATAGAGAAAATGAAATATAGATATTGTTCTTTCCATAGTGGAAATCCTCTGAAAGGAATTGCTGAGGATTTCTTACAGCAGAAAGATATATCCAAAGCCATCTCTCCTGATAGGAACATGTTAAATGTATATTAACAAGTGTTGTCTATTTTTTACCTAAGGAAGTAGAATGTCTGTGATAAAGATGTTCAGAATGCATTTTCCTCATGGTATCCAAATTCATCTCATAATCTGCTTTGTTAGAATTTTAGACTATCTTTAAATCTAGTATGGAGTGCATCTTCGGACTTTAGAAATTATTATGTCCTTAGTCTTCCATGAGTTCCACTCTTAGATGTTCACTTTGGCTTCTGTTCACAAGTAGCTATTCCTTTCTAGAGCAATCCCATTCATAATATTCTAACTGTGGTGGGAACAAATAATATCTAATATCAAAGAGTGCATGGATCATGGATGGAGACAAAAATACAATCTCACATAGTATAGTGGGTGTAATTAAATATGTATAACTTAAAAATATTATTTCTAAATAATATGATGTGTTAATTTTTATTTGTTTTCTCTCAGTAGCTCATCCTGGATAATGCAGGCTTTGCTTAATTGTATAAGATGAAAGGTATTTTTTGTGGCAGCTAAAAGTTTTCAGAGATCTAAGAATTAATAACATGTATTAATTAAAAGAGATAAGAAAAAGTATACAAGCAAATGTTTTTAATAGCAGAGCACACACTTTACTTTTTAATTAAATTTATCTTGTTTGAGAATTTAATTAATATAGCAAAAGAAGAGACATGTGAGAAACTTTCATAATGCAGTCAAATCTGTAAACTGTAGAAAGGAGAAATCAGTTTATTTTCCCTTTCTCTGAAAGTTGAGGAAAGAAAAAGCACAGAAGAAGAAATTCTATGTGTATATATGTGCATGTGTGTGTTTCATGAAGGTGTGGATTGAATAGATTCAAATGGCTTTTTCCAAATTAGCAAAATCTACTAAAAATCTAATTTCACTACTCTGCTAATTAAAATTTACCTTTTTTAGCAAGTTAAAATATTTTAAATGAAGACTTTTTTAAGTATCCAAAGATTTATGTGACAGACTCAAAAAAGCATCACAAATTGGTTGAAGACAAAAATGCAAGGTGTTTTCCAAAGCTTTCTTGTAATACAAGAATGAAATCAGCTTACAAGAACAGAAATCAGGCCAAGGCACTCTGCAAGGTCCTACACCTTCAGTGGTGAGAATACGACAGCCAATTCTGCCCCTCCTCCACAGAGAGTATGTACCTGTTAGCAGGAAAAGCAAGCATTTTGAGGATGTCCTGAAAGGAACAGAAAGATATTTGACTCTATAGTAATGACTTTTGCACATTAGCCAGCATATCAAAATGACATATTAAATGTGAGAACTCAATTATTCTTACTTTTATTTCCCATTTAGGCCTCTAGAAGGCAATTATAAATATGCATGTGCAAAATGCTATAAGGAATTATAGTTTTCCTTTGATCTCAGGATACAGAAAAGCCATCATCACTTACTATGTTTATAAAGTTGTGAAATAAGTTCGACAAGTGATGCCAAGTGGAATATCAAGTCTAATGTGTTTTACTTACTTATAGAATAGCATGTGGTTTAGATTACCTACTGCACAGCAATAGCCAAAGTTACCATATTAGGAATTTATATTGTGTGGTTTTATGAAGATAAAAGCAAAGAGTATTCTTAGACAACAGGTTAAATTAATGTTAATGACAATTTGAGCCCTATGTCAGGAGTGCACATGTTTATCGAAGACAATATTCCTTATGCATCGTGATTTATTGAAAATGTACTTTTACCACATTATCTTTTTTCCCCATCTGGTTAAAAAAGAAAAAAAAGCTATGCTCATTTCTCATTCTTCTTTCCATGCACACCAGTTTAGGAGTGAATGTTTCATATTTATTTTTCATTTGTCCATTAATTTTTTTCTCTTCAGGTGTAATCTAGCCCCTGTGGTGGAGTTTGCTGCAGATGTGGGAACTAAATCAGATTTTATTACCATGAATCCATCAGTTGTACAAAGAGCATTTGGAGGCTTTCGGAATGAGAGTGACAGAGAAAAATTTGTGCATAGACTCTCCATGCTGAATGACAGTGTCCTTTGGATCCCTGCTTTCATGGTCAAAGGAGGAGAGAAGCACGTGGAGTGGGTTAACACATTAATCCTTAAGAATAAACTGAAAGTGCGAACTGCCTATCCATCATTGAGACTTATTCATGCTGTCAGAGGGTAAGTGTCTGGAAAGGACCAGTCTGTCCTTGGCACAATGGAACACATAACTACACATTTTCCCTAGACAGGGAGAAGCCTCCATAAAATCTCCCAATCGATATAGTTTTCCATTATTTTGTAGCTGCTATTCTATTCACCAACTTGAATTTTGTTTATGTGCTATAATATTTTACCTCATTCTTTTTCTTATAAAGGCAAATAGTTGAACTTGGCACTTATGTACATCTGCTCATGAGGAAACTACAGATTTTTATATTTTTCTGTGTTAAAGACTAATAACAATTCATATAAAATTGCTGAATTTTGGGTAAGGAGACAGCAGAAGTGCTAAATGGCTAGTGGGCAATATTGTGGAAACATAAATTCTAAATGTATTAAGGGAGCAATTGAGACCCATCCGTACGTAGTTAAACCTACTGGAGATACAGAAAGCTGGCTGAGGTAATACTCCTTAAGCTTCACCCACAAAATTACAGATGCTATTTTTATGAATTAAGTCAACATTCCTCTCTTATTCACTTAAACATAGAAGAAAACCCTAAGAAATGGACTCTTATTTAAAAGTGGCAAATGACCAAAAAGCCAAATTTAGTCGTGTGTGTGTGTGTGTCTGTGTGAAATACATAATACAATAATAAGCAATAATGTGCATTTATTGAATATCTACTGAGTGTCAGATGCTGTACATACAAAAAAAAAAGAACTGATCACTGCTTTAAATGAATGCATAGGTTTTATGGTGGAAACAGAGACAAGCTCAACTAGCTAAGGCATAAACAAATGATAAGGGGGTATGTCATTAAGAGTGTAGAATTTGTCCCTCAGGTTAACAAGGAAGGCTTAAAAGTCTAACATTTGAATCAGACTTTAAAATAGAATAACAATTGTCAGAGAGGGAGAAGGGAGAGAGAAAACCAAACAAAGAAAAGCTATTGCATCATTAGAGCAAACTGAGGCAGGAAATGATTAAGTACATGGTCAACTTGCAGAATATTGTGCAGCATTGTAATACAAAGCTGGAAAAATTACTTGTGATCTAGTTGGGAAGAGAATCAATTTTATCCTGCAATAAACACAGTTATCTGTGTGAACTTAGGAGGGTAAATCTTGTAACTTCAGACTCTGCATTGACAAGGAGAGGTGCTAGAGGAATGAAGACCAATTAGGCTTTTTTAACTAATTTACTCATAAGATGATAAAAACATAGGACACAATCAGTGGACGTGGAAATGAAGGGCAAGTTCAAGGAACCAACTGAATACAGTGACCAGAAGTCCTAAAAGAAAATGGTTCCCAAGCCCAGAGTTAAAAATAGTTTCCTTTATATACTATAATTGTAACTGGGCTAGTGTATTCATTTATTTTGTTTGTGAGATACTATCCTTAAAGATTTACCATTTCCTTGTTATGCTTCCAGATAGTTTCTTGGATTGTGTTATTCTATGCACAATTAAATTGCTTCTTATGATTAGATCATTTTATTCAACACTCATTCCTTTGATGTTTGACACAGAGTTTCAGCAAAGTTAAATAAAATAAAAATAAGTGCATTGGGAGGATAAGTAAAATTTTTTGTTATAAAGATTCTTGTTAATTACATTTGAAAAACAGTGTTCTTTTTTTAAAAAAATGTGTTCTTAACAGAATAACTATAATGCATTGTGCTAAGAATGCATTCTATTTTATGAGCTGTCAATGTTATCATTTAATTAAAAAAAAAACTTAAAGATACCACTTTGCCCTGTCTTACACTTGTGCACATTTTGACAGATACATACACTCCGGTGATAGCTTATTAAGATTAAAAAACAAATGTTTTGAAGTAAGTACTTCCTAATTTATGAAACTAATTAGGAAATTCGTAACTCTGAATTACTACTTTTTAACAGACTATTTTTAGAGCAGTTTTAGGTTCAAAGCAAAATGGAGAAGAAGGTCCAGAGATTTTCTGTGCATCATGTGCCCACAACACAGGCATAGCTTCCCCCATTATCAACTTCTTTCACAGAGTTATATATTTGTTACAGTTGGTGAATTTACATTGATACATTATTATCACTCAAAGTCCATAGGTTACATTACTGTTCTCTCCTAGTTTGCACATTCTGTGGGCTTTGACAGATGCATAATGTAAATAGTGATCATTACAGTATCAGTACAGTAGTTCAACTGCCCTAAAGATCCTCTCTGCTCAGTATATTCATTCCTCCTTCCCTGTCTACACATGACAACCACTGATCTTTTTACTGTTTTCATAGTTTAGCCTTATTTTTTCCTTTTTTTTAATTGTTCAAATACATTTGTCTCCATTTTCCTACCACCGCTTTCCCCTGCCTCACCCACCCCCACGTCTGACCCTCAGTCCTTCCTCACTTTGGCTTTGTCCATGGGTCCTTCATCCATGTTCCTTGCTTTGATCTTTCCCCTTCTTTTCCCCATCACCTTCTCCCTTCTTCCCTCTTGTTACTGTCAGTTTGTTTTTTCTTTCAATGTTGCTGGTTATATTTTAAAGATGTCTTATAGTTGGAATCATGCAGTGTATGGCCCTTTTATATTGGCTCCTTTTACTTAAAATATGCTTTAAAGATCCCTCCATGTTTTAGTGCTGAATAATATTCCATTGTCTGGAAGTACCAATTTATTTATTTACTCATCTGTTGATTCAAAGTTTTGGTAACTGTGAATAAAATTTATGTAAACATCTGTGTGCAGGCTTTGGGGTAGACATAGTTTTCAACTCATTTGGGCAAATGCCAAGAAGTATGACTGCTGGATCTTGTAATGAGAGAGTATGTTTAATTTTGTAAGAAATTTCTGAACTGTCTTCCAATGCGTCTGTACCATATTACATTCCCACCAATAATGAATTAAATGCATGTAGCTCCACATCCCCACCATTATTTTGTATTTCCAGTGTTCTGGATTTTGGTATGTTGTTGTATTTTAATTTACATTTCTCTGATGACCTATGATGCGGATCATCTTTTTGTGTGTTTTTTGTCACCTGTATCTTTAGTGAGGTGGTAAGATCTTCCGCCTATTTTTTAGTCAAATTGTTAGTTTTCTTATTGTTGAGTATTAAGAATTTTGTATTTTTTGGATAATTGTTCTTTATCAGATATATATTTAGCAAACATTTTTCCCAGTCTATGGCTTGTCTTCTCATTCTCTTGACATTGTCTTTTGCAAAACATATATTATTTTTAAGGAAGTCCCAACTATGAATTATTTCTTTCATGGATCATGCCTTTGGTGTTATAACTAAAAAGCCATTGTCAAACCCAAAGTTATCTAGAATTTCTTCTATGTTGTCTTCTAAGAATTTTATAATTTTGCATTTTACATTTATCTCTCTGGTCTATTTTGAGTTAATTGTTATGAAGGGTATAAAGTCTGTATGTAGAATCATTTTTGTGTGTGTGTGGATATCTGATAATTCTAGCACCATTTTTTGAAAAAAATATCTTTTTTTCTGTATTTATTAACTTTGCTTCTTTATCAAGCATTAGTTGACTATATTTATATGGGTGTGTTTCTATGCTCTTTATCTGTTCTGTTGATCTATTTGTCTATTTTTCCACCAACACTTGATGATCCTGATTATGTAGCTTTATAGCAATTCTTGAAGACTGGTAGTGTCCACCGACCTTTTCCTTACCCATCAATATTATGTGGATTATTAAGGGTATTTTGTCTTTCCATATAATCTTCAAAATTAGAAATTTTGTTCCTTAGATTCTGATTTATATTTCTCAGTTTACTACTAATAGCAAAACATAAAGTAACAGACATTGTTCAAATAGGGCATTTTCAACTACTTAGAATCCAAATAGAATTATGCACTATAACAACAATGAATTCACATGGGCTTTTTACATATACAGTAGATGTAGAAATTATACAACTTTTAATAATTTGTTCATCAGCACTCTCCTTTTATGTTTTGTGTACTTTTCTTCCATAATCATTGTAAATATAAACTACTTCACTAATTTCTATGCATTATCTTTCAAAGAGCAACAAGACCAAACTTCTAACCACTGGTTATGGTATTGGTGTGCTTTCTCTTGATTCCTATACTTTAGGTGTTTTTGACAAGACTTATCATGAATTCTCCAGAAAGAACTTAACTTGCTACTTTCCTGCTCGTGTATCTATCTACATATTTCCCCTGAAATGCCAAGTGATTGAGTTCTAAACTGTGGCCCAGAATATAAAAAATAGCTGTGTAGATGCCTTTCACCTTTCAAATATTTTGTACACATGGTTTATGTGAAAGGTAATTTCACTTTTGGAATTAGTAGAATTAATATACTGATACATATAGCATAGAATTTTGACCCAGTCTTTGTACTTTACACAGCTATTAACATGCTGGAAGAAAATAAGGAAGTGATGAAGTAAGATTCACATGACAACAAGAGTAAAGTTCCCAAATATATGTTCTTCACGTATCTGTTTTACATCTCTCTGAAACCATGTGATTAACACAACTAAGCAAAATAGTTAAGAATTTCACATCCTCTGTTAGTCACTGGTGTTTGTTGTTTCTCATGAAAGCTTAATACCTGCATTTTAGGTTATACAAAATCACAATGTTAAAATGTAAAGGTTTTGCCAAGTATTGGAGTTACAAGTAGAAAGTTTGAATGATTTGAAAAGCAAAGGGCTCTTGAGCAGATCCAGAATCATTTAGGTAGTTTTCATTTTGTCAAGCTTCATTTTTTAAATGTTTTCTTCTCTGAAAATTATGATGGTTTATTAATTTTAAACATTTATTTGTATGGTTTTTGAAAAGTTATGAAAACATAATTGCCAATCTCAGGACTCAAAGAGATCCTTAACTTTCAATGTATAGTTATTCTTCCCAAGCCATATTGAGTAAAACAAGATAAAAAAAAATAAAGTTAGATTCTAATTTTAAAACATCTTACAAATAAGAAAAGGATAATTTCATAGGAAGAAATAGAAGATATAATTACAAAGTTAAATGCGTT